ATTACCACTTCTATTTTTTATGCTTCGGCCAGCTATTATCTCATCACTACTTTTCTCGCCATTGAGGCAACCGGCAGCTTTGACATTCTTTTTTATTTTGAGCTGTTCTCAGCCGCATAATTTCATATGGCCATTTAAATAAATCTTCCACTGTATTGGCGACTTTCCTTATTTTCTTCTTATACTGCAAGCTTATCATTAATCACTTTGCTTTATCCATCTGTTGTTTCTCATTCTTGCCAAATGGTCAATTAACTCATCCTGCAGACGTCGCTTTGATAATATCGCCCACGCCAGTTCAAAGTCGTGGTGCTTCATACACAGCAACCTGCTGACACCTACCGTGCATCAGTTCATTGCTGGTTGGGCGACTGCCAATTTTTTTTGTCTAACCTAGATTGGTATTCCATTTTTCACTTCTACAGTGGGATTGAAAAGTGACAACGCAATTGAATTGGAAAATTAAGTTTTCAATGTCGAAACTGCTGCATTAGAGAAAACACTCATCGCCACAGTGGTGAGGGCTACATCCTACTCTTTTGCCTTTTTTTTAACTTCACACCACTACTCGTTATTTATATATATTGTTTTTTTTTTTCCAGTTAGATATAGCTATTCACAAGCCCAACAGAATGATTTTCGAGTCTCTTTTCGCACTAAAGGATCTCGTGTTATTTAACAGTGAAATTTTGGTTGGAGGGGATGTTTAAACACAGATCCTTTCACCACTCTTCACTGCTTTTCCCCTTTTTTTTGATGAAGCAAGATTAATCGTGCCGCTGTTCTCCAAAGAGATCTTTATCGACAGATTTGCCAGTTGATGAATGCTGCTGGCACATGCTGCCGATTGAGCTCTTTGTAAACGACTCCACCTAAAAGGATGAACATGGAAGGCAGATGAGGTGGAGGGCGGAGAGGGGGAGGGTGATAGGGGCGAGAGCTTCTCGTGGTTCATACTGTCGAATATTTCCCATCGTATAGTGAAGGTTTAAACGAAATTAAAAAATTATCTTTTTTTTATTTGATTAGAAAAAAGCAGCTTTTCGATTTTTTTTGGGAAAATCGCTAAAAAATTTCTATCTTCTTCCGTCGGAATTTTTCACTACACCGGTTGTAACAATAAAAATAATTTGCAGTATGTTATGCGTTGTACTTGTAATCACTGCCAGTTGGTATTCATCAATGAGAAGAATTTAATGCTGCATAAGCAGTCATCGCATTCCCGAAAAAGAAAGTGAGTTCCACCCACTGCTCTGAAATAAGCGGTGGCGCTTACACCTTGTTAAATGTCTACTTAACATAAGCGAAGTGTTCGCTTTTTCTACAAAGCAATGAAAAGTTTCACAGAATGAAAGCGTGCCATAAAGCAACTTTTTGTGGGCTGAAGCAATGTCTAACTGTCGAAATGGGATGAAATTCTGAGTAAGAAAGGGGCTAAATCCAGCTGGAGGGCCATAAATTAAGCGGGAAGCTCCGAAAACTGAGGCGAATTTAATTTAAATGAATGAAAGGGAAATGTAGAGAATACGAGAGGCCGGTAAGGGAGCAGCAGTTTTGAATTGGTTGCCCTCGAATTCTGGACAAATCTCAGTGAATATCTGAATTTGCTGTGAGATTTTCAGTGGATGACTGGGCCTGTTTTTAGGACGCAGTGGGCTGTGTCGTTGCGAAAGCTGAATTTGCAAGGCGTGGTGCATTTCAGGTACATATGCAAATGGTGTGGTGATGTATATTTGTCTGTGAATGAACTCAATGAGCATAAGAAAGAGATACATGGTGTGTACAGCGGTCGGCCGGAGCCTCACAAAAGTTCAGCAGGGCATGCTGTCGCTGCCGGTGCCCGC